GTGACTGACATGTGGGGGGACGGCGTGGTGAGTTTTTCTCAAGTTTGCCCTTTTCGTGTTGTGTATGTGCGGAGTTTCCCTTCCGTGAAGCATCGTAGACACTAAATTAAATACAAGCTCTCGTCTGCTGTGAAGTGGAGGACCGTATTGCGCTCTTTTCCGCACTGGCAGAAGGGGCCTGCTTTGGAACGGGGATCTCAGCAACAGACGTTGTTTTGTGTTTTTGTGAATCATTGTGGGTTGCGGGGGTGCCTTTCTTTTGTGTGCCTTACACGTCCATCCGCATTTATATTCGAATGCGCTCAAAGTGAAGGAGTGGTAACGAAAACATGCGCTTGTGCCATGCAGGAGATTCCGCCCGTATCTCTCCTGTGCGATAGTCTGGACACTGTTCCCCCTGCCGTCCGTAAGGACACTGTCTCCGCCTCCAAACATGTGTTGTCTATCGGACGAACAAATTATTGTGGTTGGATTTTTCCGGCGTGTTTTTTTTTTTCTTGAAAAAACTTGTTGGCGTGAAAGGAGTATTACGCGTCGGCAATAAAATACCCCGTTTTTTTTTCTTTTTTCTGTCTAGACAGGAACAGGAGCTATCCTCGTTATTTGCTGTATGTTGTGCTTGTCTGTGATGCGTGCACGTGCATCGTGAAGGGAAGGAGGGGAATAGGTTTCGATCGCTCTTTTATGGCCTGTGCTCTCAGCGGAAGTCACCGTGGCAATACTCACGAGGAGGGGGGAACATGTTACCCTCCTCTTTCTTTTTTCCCGCCGGTGTGTGTGTTTGATGCTGTCGAAAGGACGCAGACAGCGGTGATTGTGTGTGTTGACTGCTGTTGTCATGACGGTGTTTTCTACGGCGGGCGATGATTATTTGATCTCCGAATGCGCCTGTCGGTCACCTTGACCTTACACATTCGACTTCCGAAGGGGCGACACGTTGACGATACGATATATGTACACCCTCTCCCTCCCTCCCCCCCCTCCTCGCTCCCGTCGCCTCTGCCGGCCGTTCCTGGCTACTCTTCTGTGATGTCACAACAGAGAAAAAAGAGAAATATTTGCCACTTGAAGGCTGCTTGCCTGCTGTATTTTCCCAATCTGTGCGCGCCGCCGTGTCGAAAACCCACGTTGTCGGAAGTTTGACCCGTTGCCCCTGCCCCGTCATCTCGGTTTTTCTCTCATCTGTCGCGCCTGAACAGAGGAGACAGTACCAGACGGACATGGTCCGTCAGAAGAACCAGTCGGTGGAGGACGTGCACAAGCGGGACTCGGCGAGAACGGCCATGCTCGTTACCCGTAGCGGCGTTCACAGGGTCACCCGTAAGGCCGGGATGCCTGAGTCGCGGTGATTCGTATCATATCTCGATCAAAGTGGATACAAGATTGAGGCGAGCGAGAGACCTGTAATCTTGCTTGGAGGGGCGGGGGGGCGGGGGGCGTGGCGTGTGCATTTTCTCTCCGTTTCGAATCTTTTTGCTGCCTTGGTTGTAAGATGGAGATAAGGTGAAGGTTGTAAGATGGAAGGAGGAGGACGATGATAAGGGGATGGGGATGGATGTCGGGGGCGAGGAAACAGATCGGCGCGAATGATAGGCCGGTTCGTTGGCCGCATGGCGGGGGCACTTTCTGGTGCTGCCTTTTGTGTTCATCGTATGATTATCATGTGCTGCGGCTACTGATGCTTGTAATACTGCAACACGGAGTTCGATGTTTCGGGG